TTTGTTTTGGATAATTTTTCAGTTTTTTAAACCAACAAATAATTTCTATTCATAGTTTCTCAAACCAAGAGGATACAACCAGACAATTTAAAGAAAAAAACTTAAAACCACGAGAAAACTAAACAATTGAAAAAAAAAAAACAAAAACCAAGTAAGAGACCGGCCTCAGCGAACAGCCAAGGCTCCGCATCCCGTCAACCCGCATAGCACGTCCAGTCAGGAATTCGAAATAACCTAACCCAAGTCCTCAACGCAACGGTTGCCACTTAGCGAAGGTGACCGGGACGCGAGCAACCGCCACATCATTGCCATAACCAAACGAAACCTGCCAATATCCACGTTAAAACAACCAAAAATCGAGCATGCAGCAATATGAAACAACACGCTATTGGGAAGCTCATCGCCTACACGGCCGGCCTCCCCAAATTTTCCCGAGTGGCACATTTTTTATTACAACAATGCACAAAATCTTGTCAGAAATATTTAAAATCAGACTCCGATTCAAGGATCCGACGATCAACCAGCCAATCTCCTTGTTTTACTATCGTCACAAAATAACTAGATGAATACCATACAGTACCATCCTCATTAACATCTTACCTCATTGCTTTTGCACCACAACCAAGTTTGTGTTTGAAGAAAACGCCTTTCCCACACTCACCAATCGTAGTCTATTTACAGCCCGACACCACGACAAGGTACCTGAGCGCCACCATCAGTAAACCAGATTCCAATTCTTCGACACTGAAAACCCACCATTTTTCACTCCACCAACCCATAAAAATAAGTGTAGTGCCAGTGAGATGTAGCAATGAGTTCTAAAATAAGATTGGTATAAAATGTGTTGTAGTTGGTTGCAAGTACATGAGCAAGAGCAAGAGCTAGAGAGGGATAAATTATTTTGTGCGGTTATAGAGGCGAATCATAACGCGTCATGTACGTTATTTTTTTTTCTGTGTACCGTGGCTTTGTACCGGATGATGTTATATGCTGATTCGCATCCGAACAGTCTGGTATCCGCATATAATGATTTCTCCTAGAGAAGACCAAATATTTTAATTGTCTTATTTTAATAAATATTTTGATATTACATCATAATTCAACAAATAAAATTATAATATTTTATATTTTTATTTGAATTAGGCCGGGCAAGCCGATAAGACAAGAAAGGTCCGAATTATAAATGTGGCTTACTTTCGTAATCCTGAGGTTAGGATATACATAAAAAACTGGTTTTCTACATTAATTTTAAATGGTATATGCGCATCTCTACTGATTTTATCGTCTTCACTAGAAATGTTTCGTGTTGAAAGTTGAAAGAGCTATATAATATAAGAACAATCTTTTAAGAAATTATTTAATATTTATTTGATCGGTTTACTTAGACGAGGTGAGATCATTAATGTAGAAGTTAACATAAATGTTCGTGATGATGTTAGTGGTCAGAGTTGTTGCTAACGGCAAATATTTTCCATAATGGGAGATGACATGCATGGACATTGCTGGCAATTGCACGTGATACAGTTAGTGGGTGTCGGCATTGTCAAGTGTCTGATGGTTAAGAATCATAAGATTATAGGCTAGCAAAGGTACTTGTCATATGTCATAATTGGGTGGTGATGATTAAATGATCATAGTCATGTGACAGAAATTAGAAGACAAAAAAATGAGGGTTGGTCATCATAGGATCTTAGTCGGGTGGTGGTCTGTTAACTGTGATTAGGCAATGCTCTGACAGTGGTGATGATCCTGCAATGGCGCTCGTGTAGAGCTTTAGTATACTTATGGCCTTTGAGCTCTTGAATCTCAAGTCCCTCTTCCTAATTATTTGGAGAGTGAGGATCTATTTATAAATTTTTAGAGTGGTATACCCTACAAATATAATCAAAATCTAAAACACTGCACTAGAGTACCCATATTGATTTCTCAATCATTATTATTCTCTTAATATATAAGAATCTTAATGATGTCATAATTAGATTATTTTGAGCTCGTTTATTCATCAAGTTGAGTCGCTTAATTTGACTACAAGCATGCAAGATTTAGAGATGTTGAATACTTCAATTAATGCCCTAAAGTTTTAGTTACACTTCAAATGCTTGATTTAGGCTTATTTAGAGTCGAATTAAACCGCTTATGTTGTTGATGAGTTTGTCTCATCGAAATATTAATTTATTAAAATAAGAATTTGGATAACCTTGAAATAATTTAAAATATTTATAATTCTAATATGCATCAAAATTCATGTTTGATCAACATAGATTTGGTTTGAGATAGCTTTCTTATTGTTTTATGATGTAATTTTCTAGTACAATAATTTCTTGAATTAATTTTTTTTTTTAGAAAACAATAAGAAAACTCGCATGACTTATGATTAGTTTCATTCACAAATTTGAAAAAAAAGGTCATGCGTGGTTATGAAATTTGATTAGTTGCAAAATAGTATTGATTTAAATATAATAGAAATAGTCATTTTTCATAGTAAAGATCAATTAGCTTAAATATTTTAGAATAAATATAATGTAAATTTAAAATAAGTATTCATATATTCTGTTTATCATAAAATAATTTTAATAATTATTAAACTATTTTTTTATCATGCATTTCCCATAAAAAATATACGCATCTACGAAAATTTTGGACGCATGAGCCAACGCCTTTTTAGCCTGAAGCAGTTATTCTTAAAAAAAGAAAAAGTTAAATATATTTAAGAACATGTTTTACATAATTAAATAAATTGCGGAGCCAAAAAATTTATTAAAGGGGGCCTAAATTATTTTATTAAAATTTCCTCTCAATTTTTTTCATTTGAGCTTGAGACCGGCATAAACAGTTTTAAATTTTTTTTCAATTATTATCCAAAAATATATAATATTAAATATAAGATAATAAACAACTTACAATTTCTAATATTAAATATAAGATTTGTTATTTCTTCGTGTTAGAAAGCAATTTTTTTGAAAAACTATGCATTTTATTTTAATTCCTCATAAGTGAGGATTTCAGTTTCTCTCAGAATTAATGACTGAAAGAAAAGAAAAAAAAAACATGACTTTCTAAAGCTTGCTTTGTATTTTACAACCATCCAAATGAGCCCTTAAAGCTCTAATAAAAAACTTGACAGTTCTAATTGAGATTTTAACAAAGAAAAGTAAGCTCATTTTATTTTATATCAGCATCTCTTAATATATTTTTCCCTGTTATTATTTTCATTTCTTATATTTTCTTATTTGACTATGGGGTGCATATTAGCACGGATCTAAATAAAAGACACGACCCGATAATTTGATCCGAAAATAATAAGTTTTGTTGCGAGTACTTGAATTCATGTGATTTCCTTTTCATATAATGGACATTCATTTGCATATGAAGT